GCAGAAATGACACCAAATAGGATCTTGGAGATGTGTGCTTGGATGTGAAAATCCTATGGACCTGAGTGGTGCAGGGGTGCATCATACTGCACACTGCTGGTCGCCTGGGAAACAGAGTGAGGAGAGCTGCTAGAGGTGACTCTAGTCAGGTGTGAAGGATGAACCGCTTAGAAGAGCGTGGGTCCCATCTTTCCTTTAGCAGCTATTTCTCCCACCCCCTAGCTATGGTAAGTGTTGACTGCCAAGCACACACAGTATGGCCATCTCCAACAATTGCTCTCAAATGAAAGAAGCCTCCTCATTCCTTACACCTTAGGAGATACTATCTTCTGGGAAGAGGTATGAAGCCAACAACTGATTATTAGGGGCATACAAAAACCAATCTCATACACCAAGGAAAGACATTGCAATGCTGTTTATGCTCCAGTGCCTCAGGGGATCCAGGTTAGATTTCAAGTGAAATCACGTATTTTTCTAAGGTGACTCTTTGTCTTGTCTTCTCCTTTCCTTCTCATTCCATATAGTTTTCTCTTGAGAGATGGCCCTCAATAAATCACATGCTCAGAAATACTTGTCTTGGCCTTTGCCTTTACAAAATCTGACAGCTGATAAACACTTTCCATAGTGTGGAAGAGTATGTTCCGTTCCCAATGCTGTACTCCTTAGTAAACATATGGCCCCTTCTTACTCATAGTCCCATGACTTGGCCAAACATCATTGCAGAGAGAAGTTAATCATCATCTCATCTTCGGGCTCAGCCAGGTGACAGGTTTGAGCCAATGGTCAGCCACAGAAGGGTCACGTGTGGCATCTGAGCACTGGCTTTAAACATAAACATGAGAGTTTGTTTCGGCTCTCTCATACTTCTAGCATTTTCTGTGAGGCCAGGATATTCCAATTAGGGGCTTTTCCTTCAGTCCAGAAGGAAAAGCTGAACCAAGAAGAACCATGCAATCGACAACACACAAACAGATCTGGGGATGAGAAATATAATATACACATTTAGCATATACACACATAATGAATAAATATACATATATCATGTAATATGCATATATATGCATTTTCTAAATTACTGAGGTTTTGGAGGGTTATTATTACTATAACTAAAAGCTAATACATATGCTCAAGTTGGTTTAAAAGTTTTAACCTATTCCTTTTCTATGAGATGGCTCAGTGGACTGGAGTGTTATGACCTCTAAGGTAGGTATGGCACACTCATTTGACCAGGGAACCTTTGCTAAAGAACCTTTCATGGGACTGATTTTCCATCGTGCAGTGAAGCTCTGTGGTTGCCTGTTCACAGTATTTATGGCATTCACTCATGTCAGAAGACAGGAATAGTTCCTTAGCACAACTTCATAGCATCATCAGTTGTGTTCAGAGAACCAAGCATGGCCCTGATACCTGCATTCTGGGCACAAAGTGAGGAAAATGTCAATTTGTTGATGAGAACAAATTTGCTAACGGAGTGGCCAAGCCACTAGCTCAGACAGCTCGAGGCAGTCAACACTTGACAAGTCAGCAACCCATTCATTCTCCCCAAGCCCAACAGACTCACCAGGTCAGGGCATCAGGGAAATGGCTGTGGGGAAATAAATGGAAAAACACAATGAGAGTAAAAGCCAGCGAGGGAGGAAATGGGCCAGTTCAAACATCCCAGGCCAAGATCACAAGGTAAAAACTTATTTTAAGTTACATTCAAAAGGCCAAATAAATCCTCACGATTTATTTAGCATTCCAGTAGATAAAGAGCAATAAACAGTTGCTTCGAGTATGTTATGGTATCTTCAGGACTGTGCGCTTCGGTCTTTCAAAGCTGGGACCAAAAGCACACAATGTGCTTTGTCCCTGCAAGATTCTACCAGGGCATCGACAGAGAGGCTCCCACTGTCATAACAGGTAAATTCCCTTCAGTCAGCAGGCAAATTAGAAAGGGACTAAGTCCAACATCAGCATTAATTCCAAATAGCTTGTGTTTCCTGCCTCGGGCTTGTGCTTTTCAGTCTCCTCCAAAACAATGTCTGTGCTGTTCCCATGAAGACGTCTTTCACTGAGCTTCTAAAACTCACTTGCAGGATACCCTGACTCACACTTGGAAGTGCCTGTTGCTTCCTCTTCGGCACCACTGCTGCCCAAATGCAGACCTCTCGTCTCATGGGCAGCCTACTGCAGCAGACTCTTGGTCGCCTGTGCTAACTTCCTTGTGAGCTGCCTCCTTTACAGCTCTGGGCATTTACTGTTCGAAGACCACCAGCAAGATCATGCAGCTCCTGGAGAACACCCAAACTCCTAGGCCACAGCTAGAGATTTCCATGAGCAGATCCATGATGCAGTAAGTACTTGGAGTCACAAAGACCCCACCTCAGAATGTCATTTCACCCTAATCTTCTTGGGACAGTGGTTTTACCCCCACTGGCCATAACTGGTCCCAATATAACGAGACAAAGACTTGATGTTGTAGGACTGTGTGTCATCTTATCAGAGTCTATGAGGATGTCCTGATGCCAGGGTTAACACAGTAGACTCTCTATAATATAATATATTTTCCTCTTATATTTTCCCATCATCCCTATCACTTACACAAAACCAGCTTCCTTTGGGATTGAACTACACAGAACACAGAACATAGCTAAAAGTCTTCACAGAATTGTGTGTCTTTTTTCCAGATCAGCTTCTCCGATTGGTGGTGCCTACTTGACTCTGAATTCAGAAATGTCACAGCATGTTTTCAACACCCTGCATCAGTGGGGCCCCATATCAGAGGGAGTGGTAGAAAACAAGGCAGATGTCTCTCCCATCTTATCAAGCACTCACCCACGCACCCCCAGACACATCACCACTGTCAGTACCTGTTTAGAACAGGAGTCTGGAAACTTTCCCGGAAGCTGTATTTGCGTAAGAATGCTTTTACATAATTTAGAGGGATGGTGCCCACTATGAGAGAGATCCTCCCACTGCTCTCTGTAAGTTAGGATATTATGCAACACTAAGAAACAATGAATTCTACCTGTACACAACAACGTGACTTACTGTAAAAACACAAAGAAGCACACAACACGATGTGTTATACAAAGCTAAAACAATGTATGTGCAAAAAAACAAGGTATCATTTCACATCCATTAGAATGGCATGATTCCAAACTGCTTAACAAAAGTACCAACTGTTGGCTAAGGACACACATTGTAGTTTTATTTCTGTGGCAGTGATAAAGTACCCTGACAATGACTGGCTTGCATGGGAAAAGGTTTACTTGGCTTACAATTCCAGATTACAGCCTGTCATTTTGAGGAAGTCAAGGCAGGGACTTGAAGCAATTATTCACATCCTTAGTCAAGAGCAGAGAAAGAATAAACGTTTAGTGTTCAGTCCCCTCTCAACCCTCATATAGTCCAGTATTCCCTACCTAGGGAATAGTGCCACCAGCTGTGGGCTGGGTCTTCTCACATCAATTTACATAATCAAAATAATCCCCATAGACATGCCCACAGGCCAAACTGATCCAGAAATTTCTCATTGAGACTCTCTTCCAGGTGGCTCTACATTATGTGGAGTTGAAAATTAGAATCATCACAATAAAAAAACTATATTTATTATTGATAGGAATTCAAAAATAGCAATCATGTTGGATGAATTTGAAGTTTTCATTGGTTTGAAAGAGTGTATATTTATGGCATACAGACTATAATATATATAACGAAGTGAATATATATAATATATAATGAAATGAATATATATGTATAATAATGAAATGACTAGACATGGCAAATCGGCATACTTATCTCACTTGTTACCTTTTCTGATGTTGAGAACACTTAAGACCTAATCTTCTATCAATTTCCTACATTAACACTGTTGAATGGTCAGTAACTACAAACAACGTGTTATATAATAGATATCCCAACTTCTTTCCTTTTTCTAATTATTTTATCTGTGACTATCCTCTTCCTTGCCACCCCTCCACTTAGCCTTTGAAACATCACTCCACTGTATACATCTAAGAGTTTGACTGTTTTTGATCCCATGCATAAATCACACCATGTGGCATTTGTCCTTTTATACCTTACTTATTTCATTGAACACAATTTTAAGCTTTTCGTTTTTAACATAACTTTAAGATTGTCCCTGTTGTTGCAAATCACACAAATTTCTTCTTTTTCACAGTTGAATAGTATCCCACTGTAAAGATAGATCACATTTTCTTTCACTGTTTACATATGATGGACACTAGGGTTTGCTCGGTGTCTAGGCTATTGTAAATAATGAGATGACCGTGGGAGTTTTTCTAGATTCCCTGTGCTGAGCTTATTTCCCATGGGAGTATACCCTGGAAACAGGGTTGGTGGGTTATATGGCAGGTCTACCATCAATTTGGGGAAAGCTTCCATTTCTATTTCCATTTCATTCCTATTTTCCGTAATGACTTGCAATGGTTAATCTTGCTTGTGAACTTGATTAGAACTGTGATCAACCAAAGAGGTACGTCTCTGGACGGGTCTAGAAGAGTGGTTTCTGGAAGGATTAACTGAAAAGGGAAAGACAATTGCCAAGAGTGGGCAGCACCTACCAGTCGCAGCCCAGATGCGGAGGTCTGATGGCAAAGGCTCTGTGCCTGCCCCGCCACAGTACTTACTGGTCTACACATCTACTCTGTCTGCTGCTATTCCTCTGGTTATTCTGACCAGTGGCCAAACAGAATGTCCCCGGTCTTCCACTCCAGACTGAGGCTGGTAAGGCATTGAGTCTCATGGACTGAGCAGCTACTGAGTCCTTAGCCTCCCCAAGTATTGTGGACTACCCAGCCTGTATCATGTACGCCACTCTAACAAATCTGCTTGTAGTACATATCGTTGCATTGATTCCGCTCCTCTAGAGAATCCTAATACATGACTATAATAGTTTACAAAGTGTCCTCTTTCTCCTACGTCTTTGTCAGCACTTACTGTTCCTGTCCTTTTGATAACCGTCACTGTATCAAGTGCAAGGTGATATCTCAGTGAATTTTTATGAAAATTAGAAATATTGAGCATGTTTTTAATACACCTATTGAACAGTCTTTTGATTTTTTTCTTTCAAGAAATGTTTTTTCAGATCCTTTGCCCATTCTTCACTCATGTTGTTTGCTTTCTTGCTAGCAATATGTCGGTTCCCTGTGTTTTCCACACCAGCGCTTTTCAGTTGGATGAGTTGGGAGCACTCCCACTTTGCAGGTTGTCTCTTGATAATTTTGTTTGCTCTGAGGAAGCATTTTCATTTGATGCCACCCTCTTTGTCCACGCTTTGTCTTCTTGTTTATATCTCTGGGTAGCAAAACATATGTCAATGTCAATATGATGTCACCTTATTTTTTCCAGTGGTCTTACATTTAAGTCTTTAATTTACTTCAAATTGTATCTTGCACATGGTATGAGACAAAGGTCCAAGTTCGCTCCTCTCCGTACAGAAACCCAGTTTTCCTGGAATTGTCCTTTGAAGAAACTCTTCAATGCTAAATCTTATTACATGATTTACTGATCATACATATAATATACTTGAAAATTTTCATTTACTAAAGTTTTCACTCATGTAAATGAATTTTGAAAGCTTTCACTTACTAAGATTTTTATACATGTACATGAATTTTTTTGATGGAAAACTAACTGCAGTTAAGGATGGGCAGACTGCCCTCAAACTAACTACATAGTTAAGGATGACCTGATCCTCCTGTGTTCACCTCCTATATGTTGACCCCCAGTATTATTATAGGCATGTACCACCACACCTGGTTTATGTGGCCCTGGTGATTAAACCTAGGACTTAGCACATGATAATTAAGTACTCTACCAACTGTGCTAAATCCTCAGCCAGACTGACAATTTTTACAGGGACTCTAACCATAATCATCAAAAACTGGTAGCAACCAAGATATTCTTCAATAGCTAAATGTGTAAACAAACTATATTGTTATAGAATGTTAGTTTAAGATGTGTTGCATTCTTTTATGTTGCATTTGTTTAACTCTGTAAAGCTGTGTTACTTTGCCTGACTCAAACACCTGATTGGTCTAATAAAGAGCTGAACAGACAATCACTAGGCAGGAAAAGGATAGGTGGAGCTGGCAGGTAGAGCAAATAAATAGAAGGGGAAATCTAGAAAGAGAAGAGGAGAGGAGGACACCAGGGGCCAGCCACTCAACTAGCCATGGAGTAAGAAAGGAAGAAAGACATATAGAATAAAGAAAAGTAAAAAGCCCAGAGGCACAATGTGGAAGAGAAATGGGTTAATTTAGGTTAGAAAGGCTGGCTAGAAACAAGTCAAGCTAAGGCCAAGCCTTCATAAGGAAGAATAAGTATCCCTGTATTTATTTGGGAGCTAGGTAGCTAGCCCCCAAAGAGTAAAGAAAAACAAAACAAAAAGCCAATTACACTGTACATCTGTGCAATAGGTTATTACTGAACAATTAAAAGGGAATTAACTATCAAAACATACAAAGACATAAGAATTTGCTAAGTGAAGAAACCAGTCAGAAATAACTATACACTATATAATTCCCTTTACTGACATTCTGCAAATGGCAAATCTACAGTCAATAGGCAGATGAACAGTTGTTGGGCACCAGGAAGTGGGAGAGAGTTGACCAGGTGAGGAGCAGGTCTAGGATAGTGAATCTCTTTTATACAACTCTTCAGTGATGAACAAATGGCATGGTGAATTTGTCCAAACCCCAGGACTACCCACATTCAAATCCATACCACAGAATGGGGAGCAGAAAGACTTGAAGAGCAAGAGGATGGGGAGGAGCCCCATGAAACACTGCTAACCAGATATGACATCATAGCTGGGCAATGGTAGGGTGTGCTTTTAATCCCAGCACTCAAAAGGCAGAGATATGCAGATCTCTGTGAGTTCAAGGCCAGTCTGGTCTACAGAGTGAGTTCCAGGACAGATTCCAAAGCTACAGAGAAATCCTGACTTGTAAAAGCAAAACAAAACAAAAACCATATATGACATCATGGTTGTTGCACCCTTGAACACACAATGTCTATGGATACCTGTACAAGACTGGACCATCCAACTTTCCATCATACATAGGGGAAGTGCCCACATAAGGCCCCATCCAATCCTCAGGAACTGTTGACTACTGACTATTAACTGTAGGAGAAGAGTGTCATTTTCTTTAATGGTGTATCTATTGGGGAACTAGAAAGAAAGAGAATCTCAGAGAAAGGAAGAAGAACAACAGAGAGTAATATAGTTACAAAGTATCATATACACAATACATACTCTCTTAAATAATATATAAACCATTTGAAAAAAGAAAAACAAAAAATAACAAACACATACTCATATATGATCAATACAAAACACAAAACAAAATAAACAACAAAAAAACTGACCATACAAATTCTTAGCACACAGAGTAAATGTTAAAATATATGAAGTTTTAAATAATTAATTTAGAAGACTGGAATGTAATGCAAAATGTGACATAATTGAAATGTATTACAAGTATATGGAATAATCTCATTTAAGGGAACAGGAAAGTAAGAGTTGACCAAATAGCTTAGGAGATGAGTGGAATCTACACTACTCAAGGAAAGGGGAGATACATATGAGCACATACTCTCATTGACAAAAATAGTTTCCCATGGGGAGACAAGTTAATAATTCTGAAACCAAAAGATACACAATGTGGTTGGCTGTAGGAGAAGAAAATGAGAATGATGGAGGTAAAGTAAATCAATCAATTGAAGAAAGAGTGGGAAGATTTGCAGGAACCATCCTCTGAAAATCATACTCTATGAACTAATAAATGAGATAAATCCAACCTGTGACCTGAGATTTACAATCCAAGGTAATGTGCCTCCACCCCATCCCATAATGTCAAAGCATACCATGGTATTGGACCCACATGTCTACTATGTCTCCTGGGATTCCTCCTTTTGAAGGAACCACCTATGAAATCACAGTGTTCCACATTTAATTCCTGCACTGAAGCCTGAAAGTGTTGTTCACATGGTACAGGGAATGAGCCAGTACTTTATGAATATGTGAATAGCTTTTTCAGCCTGTCTTAAACCTCTCCATTTTCATTTTCTTATACATTTTGTACTCATGAGACTTGCAGCAAGAAGGATGGGAAAAAGGAAACTAATGACTTTCAAATCTAGTGTAGAAATTTGACTAAGAATATGAATTTTGGGGTCTTAATCTTTACTTAAAATATGATAATTAAGATAATTTACAAATAGTTTACAGAACAGTGCCTCTTCCATAATCATGGTTGCTTTTCCTTGAACCCCATACTTTTAGACACTGAAAAAAGTGATGATTCCCTATAGAGAAAGGGGAATAAATTCTAGGCTGAAATGGTGGCCTGCCCTGCAGGTTTCACTGATTTGGTGTCTGTCTTCTCATTATTGTAGGTGTATTAGTCACAGTTCTCTAGAGTAGCAGAACTTATAGAATGAATCTCATATATATATATGGGAGATTTATTAGAATGACTTATAGGCTGTGGTCCAGCTAATCCAATAAAGGCTGCCCATGAATGGAAGGTTCAAGAATCCAGTAATTGTAAAGTCCACGAAGCTAGATGTCTCAGCTGGTCTTCAGTATACCAGTGTCCTGAAAAAGCAGTCTCTAATGCTAGTGAATGAATGGACTTGCTAGCTAGCAGGGGTAGCAAGGAATCAGGAGAGAGAGAGAGAGAGAGAGAGAGAGAGAGAGAGAGAGAGAGAGAGAGAGAGAGATCTTCCTTCTTCCATGTCCTTTATATATATACTTCCAGCAGATGTGGCCCAGATTAGAGGTGCATCTTCCCATCTCAAAAGATCTGGATTAGCAATGTGTCTTTCCACCTCAAAAATCCAGATTAGGAGTGAACAGTTCCCACTTCAAATAATCCAATTAAGCAAAAAAAAAAAAAATCCCTCAAAGGTGTGCCCTACCATTTTTAGGTTTTAATTAATTTCAGATGTAGTCAAGTTGACAACCAAGAATAGCCATTGAAGAAGGTATAGGCTGTTTTCCATGGGGGCGGGGGTGATTTAAATAGATATGTGCATGTTTTGTGAATAAGAAGGTGAGATTGCCTACCAACTGTGACCTGGGCACACTCCTAGTCTTGCTCTGTACCCCAGTTTCCCCATCTCTTCAACGTAATCCTAGTTTATACGTAATACTTCATGAGGCAAGCCAATCAAGAAATTAAAATTAAAACTGATCTTTGCATTTTCAGTGTTTGTGAATGAAGATCTGTGCAGTTTGTTGAGTTTGGCTGAGGTCAGTAGTGAGAACTCATGTATTTCTTTGTGCATTTTGAATCTGTGCCCTTCAGTCAGTGATTAGGAACCAAACCACATTATAGAGCCTAGTAAAGCTAAATGTATAGCGTCAAGGGTCCAGTCCCTTCCATTTCCAACATCCTATTTCTTATTGGAACAGATGAACACTATTTTTCTCCCAGACGACCCTAAGAGCCACTAAAAACAAAATTATAGGTAAAGCTGTCCTCCAAGATGAAACAAAGAATTTCCTCTGTGCGTAAAGGTATGTAAACTACAATGCATTTTTCTAAACAAAGTCACTTTAAGAGTTCTCAGAATGGGTATTCCATGGGTATAATATGTTCTGGTCAATTGTATTCCAGAAATTTCTATCATGAGCCAGCCTAGATCCTTAGTCTTGGAGACAGCAAGGGACCATGCAAGAATTCAGAACAAGGGATTCTCAAGATCAGCTCTGCGGTTGTGGAAGTAAATGGAGTGGATTTGAGTGGAGAAGGGTGGGAGGTAAGAAGACAGAGCAGGTTGCTTCCACAGGAAGTCCTGATGAAATCGTCCAGGGTCTGGAACCGGGTATCACTGGCAGGGGTGAAAGGATGCTGGTAGTTAGGAGAGAGTATTAGAAGGAAGAGAGGTCCAAACTTAGTGCATGGCTAAAAGAGATATGAACAATGGGTTTCCAGATGACTGTGTGCAGTACCATGTTATACAGGGCTGGGGTGTGGGGTAGAACACAAACCATCCAATGCCTCATAGAAGTGAACATTATTCCTAGGACCAGGTAAGAATCAGGGGCTTTCCATGAATCCTCTTCACAAATCTGGACAAGAGGAAAACAAGAGGCTGGGCAAGAAGATACGTGTCTGAAGTAAGGGGAAACATATTTGGTCCTAATAAGGTTATGGTGAGCCATGGAAAGGGGAGGAGCTGTTTTGTTCTAGAACAATCCACCCTGAGGGCTGGCTTGTGAAGCTGCCAGCATTTTCAAGATGTTAATGGGGGTTATCAGCTGGCACCAGAGCAAAGTCAAGAAT